TAGCTTGAGCTTTCTTTTCCTCTTCTAACTCCAGAGCTATTCTCTTTCATCAATCCTGTAAAATTAATTCTTATTAAGACACTCTACTTTTAAACCTACCAAGTTAACAGGTAAGATTGCAATTCCAATTGGATTAACACTTGAATGCAACCTTGGGATCCCTTAAGTGAATGCAACATTCATTTATTTATTTGTTTGTGTTTATTATTTAATCAGGCTGTGGTATATTCTAGAAAATGTGTTCAGGCAAAAGTTTTATCCACTTGCAATTCCACTTGGATCAACACCAAAAATACCAAACAAAACTGCAGAAATGGTACCAGTTCTATCCTTCGCCACTACACTCATTATATGTTTGAACCTTCAAAACTTCACCACCAAAATCACCTGAAACACCATACACCTCTCAGTCCTATTGCAAATGAAAACCAAATGTGATAAATTTACTTACCTGCTCCGTTACACTCTCCACGAACCCATCACAACCGAATATTTCCAGCCTCCATCAAGTCACCCTTACCTGCTCACTATCGAAACCAACATCACCAACATCATTAATTGAGCCAGAAAATAGAAAAGCAGGAGAAAAAGAAATAAGAGTGACCCAAGAGGCCAAGACCTTCCTGCTACCAATCAAAACAAGAATAAGGAGAAAAAGAAATAAGAGTTTTTTTTGTTGTTCCTGTGATTTTCGTTTGAAGCAAAATACCAAAAAAAAGTTTTTTGTGTGTTTTTCTCATGAATCAAAAGAACAAAAAAAATCAAAAAACTAGAGGCCACCACCCTCTCAGAGCCTACTGTTCATCATCTTCTTCGTCTCGAACATCTTAAACCTGCAACACAAACCGGAAAATGTTTTGCGTACAAGACCTTAGCATTCAATAAAAGTTGTTGAGCTTAAATCTCCTTCCTTGATGTCTTCATATGCAGCAAAAAAAGAAGGAAAAGAACAGTGTGCATCACCATTGATCCGATTCAGAGGAATATGCCTAAAAGTAAAATACCAACCAACTTAATATATATAGTATATACGGCATAATTACATATCATCATGTATGTATAAATAGATATTATACCTGTAGAAATATTCTAGATCTGTCTCTTCTCTTATATCATGGGGACAACATGCATCCACTACCATTCGAATGTCTGAATCATCCTTCTTAACCACAATACATTCAATCACAAAGGTACTGAATTATAAGAAAATAGGAAAATAAATAAATTATTTATTTATACACAGAAAGTAAATGAGGCATTACTGATTACCCAAGTAAATAGATTATTAAACTACCCTCATGAGCAATCACCCCTTATGAAAAACCCTCCAAAAAATATCCATTTAATTCCAAGTTGCAATGTAGTTAAATAAGATATCTGCACATATCAAATCGAAATCAGATTCACAATGTACATTGTCCATTATCTTCTTTGATATTACATATGCTAAGGACTTATGCACAAGTATTAATCAGCTATGAAAAATGGTTTTATTATTGGACCTATTTAACACATGCATGGACTTATTAAGTTTATTCATGAAAAAGAATAAAATAGAAAAGCACCTTTAGCAAATCTACCCAGTTTTAGCAAATGTATTAAAAATACAAGAGCTGTTGTACCTCAACTGCTCTTGCTTCAAAAAAGTGATCAGGTCTGGGCGCATGACCACCATCATGCTGAAGGATTCTAAGTTTGCCTTCCTACAACCAAAAATAAATAATAAAAATAAAAATATAGACTAAAGTTTTTTTTATTAGATAAAGTACCGACCTTGGTTGCATAAACAAGACCACTTCCAGCAAGAGGATGAAAGCAAGCTACATTGACCTCATCTTCTGCACTCGGAAGCACACTCACAAGTTCCGTATCTGAAACTCTATATACCTGAAACCCAAAACCATATGTTCGAATAATAAACAACCATCAATCAACAAATGTGGATAGAAAATTAGAAAAAAAAAGTAACCTCTAAAACTGTGTAAATGGATAGAAAATTAGACAGAAAAGTGTAAAAGAACACATATGGCACTAAAAACTAAGATTGTTCTTTTGTTGTATGGGGAACAGAGCTTGGAATTCCAAAGGGAGATTTTCAAAGGGGAAATGAAGTGAATGCTTGGTTTTTTTTGTTTGAATTATATATTTTCTAACTTAATTCTCTCTCAAGGCTGCTCAATCCCTCTTTTCTTACTAACTAAGGAATAATGATTTACCAAAATACCCTCCATACTATTATCCTACAGGTTAATTATATTTTCATGTTTTCGCCCACATAAACATATAATCATGATTGGAGTCCAAGATAATGGTTTTTATTTAAATCGGTAGATAAAAGTAGTGAAGAATGAAAAAGATGCTTGGCTTCTGGATCAAGGGTCGTATAGTCAATTAGTCATCCTAGTGATCAAATTCTTCTTTTCTAACAGCCTTAATCTGGTTAAATAGAAGGTTTATGATTGGGATAAATCTATAACTTCAAGGACATGTGGGTCCCTTTGTGTTTTATTCTATAAATCACAGGCTTATATGTAAGCTCACTAGGAGGAATTTAACTATCAATCATACATCTCCCATATGACTCCAAAGAAAAGATCATCTCTTTTCTCTTCCTCTCTTGATTACATAAGAAAAAAAACTATGATTTCTAGTACTCAGAAGGTATTCATCTTTCTTACCTGTATTGGAATATTAGCAGTTGAACCATATATGGTTTCTGGATTTAGAAACATAGACATTCATCGCACGCTCAAGGCAGTTTCCATGTAGGATCTTCAAGCAAAGCCATCACCTGCGGATTTGAAAGGCAAATTTGATTGATATGATTCAAGTAAAAGACCAGTTCGAAGAGGGTCAGACCCCATCCACAACCGAAGTTTATATTTCAGGATAGATTATAGAAAAGACAGACTTCAGAGGGAAGTCGTAAAACAAAAGTTTATATCCACTAATGATTTTTTTTAGAATTCTGTTATAGGAGGAATTACTATATAGAGTGATGTGCATAATCAGAAAAAGAAGAAGAAGAAGAAGAAGAAGAAGAAGAAGAAAAAGAAGAAGAAGAAGAAGAAGAAGAAGAAGAAGAAGAAGAAGAAGAAGAAGAGTAATTAGGACATCAAAAAAAGACGTTTAACATAATATAAAAGATAAAAATAAAAACTATAATTGTGGTATACCTTGAAAGTAGACTGTCAAAATTAGAAAAAACTAGGATGTCATTTTCTTTTCTTCATTCAACAATCTGCTTTTTTTTATCTGAATACCCGATAACAAACCTAAAAAAATAAAAAATAAAAATAAAAAAGTCACTTGTGTTACCCCACAATTCTTCTTATATGAACTGCTACAAGTATTATTAAATTTTGAGGGGTAATATTGACCTTTTGGCACAGTTAAGTCTACAAAACTACAGCTTTCTGAAGGATGAGGGCAAAATGGGGATTGAATTATTGCTTGAACTGATCACCCAAACCTTGGGGCATTCCTAAGCTCTGTGCAAGATCGCCCATTCGTGCTTTCATGGCCTAAAAAGGGGTAAAACGGTCAAATTCAAAATATATTACTCCAAGGGTAAAATTGTACTTTTATATTATCATACAAACCTGGACACTCTTTTGATGGGCATCTCTATATGCTTCTGTAATCAGAAGTGACAGTTTCTGCAAAAAAAAATCAATGATACAATATATCATTCTTTTACTAATTTATCTGATTTATGAAACAATGTTTTAACATTTAATTCAAAAAAAAAAGAGTAAGATACAAAAATATAAAATGAAATAATATAATAAAATTACTCACTTCTGAACCCTTTCCATTGCAGCCTCTGTAATTTCTGTGCGTACAGGTTGCTGATTCCCAGAGAGAGTGACCTAAAGTTGCAGCTCTCAATCCAACAACTTCATGTGCTACATCTTTGTCAACAGCGGGACCCACTATGGATTCCTATTTTATATGATTTCTCTTACCTCCAACATTTTCCTAAAAATGTATAAATAAAGTATTTGTAAAATTATAATTATAATTACATGACATGAAAATGGAATTAGTTACCTCATCTGAAGACTCCAATTCTGATTCACCACTTGAGAGATGTGCAACACTGGAGTTTGTATCTACAGGAGAGGGTGGAGTGGGGGTGGGTGGGTAGGTAGGGGGTAGGGGTGGGGTGGGTAGTTCTGCACGAAATGGGGCTGAAAATTGTGAAACAAAGTTTTTGTGAAACAATAGTCTCTTGATGAGATGAAGTAGCATATTTGTGAAACAAAGCTTTTGAATCTTTGTTTCTCAAGTGATCATCATAGTCCCTTTTCTTTATAGAATCAGAAAGAATCTAAAAATTGGTGTGATTATGAGTCTAAGATCTTTATATATATATATATATATATATATATATATATATAAAATTAGAAGATATACTGATATACTTGCCTCATATGCACATTGAACTTTCTTAAATGATTCACTTGCCAATGGGTTTGACAAGAAGCACGAGCTGCAGTGCAATTATTGAAGAGATGACTCCTGAATTGTGGGATGAATGCAACATTCCATTGATTCACAGGACCTACCTTTTCTTGCTCATCCAAGGCGGTCCATCTGATTCCGTCTACATCGAGATCGAGCTCCGCCGACTATCCTTCCTCCAGAAAGCAGTACATCACGCCTCAAGGTTTGCTTACACATATGAATCATAATACTTGCATTTCATTTGTTTACTCATACTCATCTTTGTTTGTTTGTTTGTTTGTTGATGGGTAATAAAATCACAAGGGCAATGGATTTGGAGAGGGCGATGCTAAGCAGGAAACTACTGAGGAAATACTCAGCAAAGGAAAGGGAAGGCCTTTTTCTACCAGACCACCTGCAGAAAGAAGCATTCCAACACATGATTTTGATCCTCTTGCCACTGCCACATGCAAAGGAATGGTTTTTTTGCACATTCCTTATGTTCACATCAACTCCAGCATAAGGAATAATATGTTCAAACATAACAGCAGTTAATGGTCCAACCAATTCAACTCATTCATGCCTTTCTGTACATAAAATGTCAACACACTTGAGGAAATTGATGGAAGAATAAATAAATAAATAAATAAATAAATAAATAAATAAATAAACTTACTTTAACTAACTCCAAATCATTAGTCATAGCAGCAGTATGTAGAGTTGTACCTCCATGTTGCGTGTCTTGAGCAGTAGCTTCAGCTCTAACAACAAGAAGAATCTGTACAAGTTCTCTACCATCTACAACATAATTAAATAATTATATATATTTAGGGTAATAAAAACATAATTAAATATATATATATATATATATATATATATAGCAGCAATATGGATAATTATATATATATATATACATACATATATATATATATATATATATATATATATATATATATATATATTGGGTAATAAACAACATAATTAAATAAATATATATAAAAAATACCTTGTCTTGGCTGAACATGTTTATATCTTCGACAATGAAGATGAGGTCAAATCTTGAAAGAATTGTAGTCTGTAAGTCAATGTTATCTTGTGCAGTTTTGAGATCATCATAACGACCTGATGGAGGGTTTGTTGCAGCTAATACAGAAGTCCTGGAATTCAGAATTGTTGTTATTCCTGCTTTGGTTATGGATATTGTTTGTTGTTCCATGGCTTCATGTATGGCAGCCCTATATGGAAGGGTGTTGTAGAATATTTGTATAAAAAAAGTAAAAAGATAAGAAAGTTACAGTGTTGTTATCACAAATGACAGAAGCAGTAAGCCCAGCTGCAGATGAGCCTTTCCTGGAAGTGTATACAACTATAGGAGCAGTACGTACCTAACCTTGTCAAAAACAAAAATGTAATTTACTCAAATCCATATTTTTTTAACTAACATTGTCTTGTAACCATTGCATTCAAAGAGAACTAAGTTTATCATCAAAAAAGGCTACACCTAATTGACTGGTCAATAGTGGAATGTATTCTATATGTGCAACACCATTCATAATATGAAATAATAATTATAAAAAGTTTCGTGGTGTACGAAGGTGTAATTAAGCATTACATATACAAAAAGTAAAAACCAAACCTGCAGAGCAACAAGCAATACCTTGTGTTTTTTTCTTTGTTTATTTCCACTTCTTCACAAAAACACCATTCATTCAAATCAAAACTTAACCAACAAAAACCAAAACCAAAAGAAATCAAATCTCCACACTCACATCACAGTCCACTCTCGTTCGATTCCTACAATAAAAATGATCAGGATGATGATGATTGAGGACATTTACGTCTTTTTTGCACATACAAGAGAGAGAGAGAGAGAGAGATTACAAGGTAAATTGGAGTAGGGTGTGGGTGTTAACGAGGTAACCTCTTATGGCTGAGAATCTCCTTGAGGTGATGATGGAACCTGCTGAGGCGGGCTTGGAGGCTCACAAGATTTGTTGCTTTGCTTGACAACATACAACTTAACTGAGTCACGTAGTTGTTGATAAGGCTTCCTGGTTTATTAGCTTCTGCCAGCAGTTTCATTTCCCGATTTCCAGCAAGGCTATTATGAATTGAACCCTAACATAAAACTCTTACCAAACAAGTTCAGGATGCCAGCGACGGGAAGGAAGAAAAGGATGTTCGCAAGGAGAAAGAAGGTCTGACGCCGGCGAGGGTGGAAGAAGCAGTGGCAACGGCGGCGAGGAGAAGGAAGACCGACCGCAGCGACGGGAGGGGAGCCGGTGATGTCTTTGACCAGAGTATCTGAAGAGCTTGTATCTTCACGGCAAATAAAGCGATTGACAGGCAAAATTCCAAGAAACATGTGAAGATCGAGCAAGAACAAACTCAACAATCAAGTAAAAACAAAAGAACTCACTAATTGGGAAAGAGATAAATCTTGAAGCTCTTACCATGTGAAGATATAGAAAAGATGATTGAAGAGGTCGATTGGGCAGATTTATAAGATCGCTTGTGGTAGGGAGGCAATGAATGGATGAAACAAGCCCTAACAAATCCAGGCGCAAATCCATGCGCAAATCCAGGCGAGAGGGATGAGATGGAAATACGAGAGTGTGATAGAAAAAATTAGGGTCGGATTTAGGAACCCTAAATCATCGGCTCAAATTGATAACTGGGAGGTAAGAACCCTAAATCCTCAGCTCATTAGGGTCGAATTAAGAGTGTACGAGTTTGTTGGAACCAAGAATTAGGTTTTTGGTGGAGGTTATGGATCGAGGAATTGAGGAAGTTGTGGATGAAGATGAAGGCCCTAATTCGAAGAGGCGGGCAATTTTTGGGATGAATAGGCGGGGTCAATTTTTGGATTTCATTTTTTCCCCCTAAAAACGCGTGTTTCCTAAAAAAATATAAAGCGACACAGTTACACGACGCACAGTTTTTGATAGGTGCCCTCCGTATTTTTTTTCTAACACAAATTTAAGGGCACGCCAAAAATGGGTGTCTTCTATCCTTCAAATTTTGGAAAACTGACATTAATTTTTAGGGCACGCACAAATGCGCGCCCTTTATCCGTGTGTGTCATTAATTGCGCGTCGTAAAAGGCTATTTTTCTAGTAGTGGTTCTACAGTTCTTGCTACATCTTCTGGATTTCTCCTATTGGACAATATTCTGCCATCAACATTTCTTTTAGCTCCTCCCACGGAATAGCATTCTCCATTGGGAGTGTCATGGCCTCTACGTGACCATTCCACCAAGAAATAGATTGATCGACGAATGTGCAAGGTGCAAACTTCACTTTGCACTCCTCGGGACATCCACATATTTCGAATACTGATTCCACTTTTTCTATCCACCTCTTTAGGGTTATTATGCCTCCTGTCTCGTTGAAGGTTCGAGATTTGGAATTCGTGAAATCCTTGTACGCATAGGTCCTTGTGGATCCTTGGTTCGTCCCCTAATTTGAACTTCCGGACCCTTGCCCATTACCTTCTCTGATATTTTTGTTGTGAATTTGCGCTAGTGTTGCGGTGACTACAGCTGACACTGCTGTTTGGAACGCAATCGAATTTATCTCCGGTGGTGTTGGTGGCTTGTTGTTTCAGTGATTCGGTCTCTGAGGATTCTTATAAAGTAAAATCATATTGGTAGCAGGTAGCAGATGAACAGGTGCTAGTTGCGACGAGAAGGGTCTGGTGGTGCTAACAATGAGGTAGAGGCACCTTGAAGTCTGGCCAGGTGCTGCTCGGCGGCCCGAAGCCGGGCTTCCAAGGCTGTCTGTCGCGCTTGGTAGTCCCTGACTACCTCAAGTGTCATCCTTTCTGCGTGCTCAACCGCGGCTCTCATGGCAACCATTTTGCCGGCAGTTGCCTGTGTCTGCTCACCGATGTTGGATGTCCTCCTTAGCATCACAGGTAGGGCTTGGTCTGCAGGTCTACCGTGACTCAAGATGTAGTAGTCCCGGTTCATACCAAATGGGGGTCGCACCCCTTGATGGCAGCTCCACCTCCGGATCTCGTGTGCCCATGGGGGCGTACGACAATTAGGGCCCATCCCGTATGGGGGTACCCTGGCCATGTATGGCAGATTGATGACTTCAGACTCCGTGTCTGAGTCATCTACGTTGCTGCCATCAGCCTCCTCCTCATCTAAGATAACTACCAGTTCTTTCGGTCCTCCTATAGGTTCTTCCTCGGGTTCTCCCTCTAGCTCTTCATCGGGCTCTTCCTCTGGATCTTCCTCGGGCTCTTCCTCCAGCTCCAACCAACCATTATTCCCCTGGTTATGGAAGTAGGGATCTCCTGGATGGTGGAATCTGGCCATAGTTTCTGCACAAGGGGTGCGAAACGTGTAAAGAAAGTATGTAGATAGCATTCCAAAATACTCCTAGAGTATTTTAATTGTTTATGTTTGAGTTGCTTAGAGCTTTTTGGACATGAGGTAATTTTCTAGATTCATTTCCCAACATGATCACTCCCAAACACATGTTGGTTGTATTTTGAACAAATACACTTGATCAAACTATATTTACCCCTAATACGACTACATAACTATCCAGATTTAACCACAGTATATAATTGAAACATAATACCATTATCATCATCATCACACATGTAATATATACACATTCATTGTTTACATTGAGTATTGTGTTTTAAATATTACATGCCAAAATAGTTAAAGTATGATGAAACAAAATATAACAAAATATCCATTAGTTCGTTCTGCCCAACCTGCTTAACGGTTTCCTGAAAATACAAGTTACTTTAAAAAGGTCAACATAAAAATGTTGGTGAGTTCATAAGCATGTTTGTGAAAATGATTTGTATACTTTGTTACCACCAAAAAATCCTATATTTTCTAAAAACAATTTAATATGTTTGAGTCTGATATTGTATTAATGTATGCCTGTTAATGTTTGTTAGCATGCAAAAACAAGATGCAGTGAATGTAAAGAGAATGCCCCAAGACAACCCGATGTTGTCTGTAAAATAGAATGCTGGTATATCAACCCCCAAGGTTTAGTACCGACGCCAGTATGTTACCGACTAATCCAATGAGAAAAGGGAATGGTCTCTCGTAAATTTATAACGTTAATTCCTCTAAATGAGTCGTTATAACCATACTAGATAATTATAATTTCGCCTGTCTTGGCATTTATGAATGCCGACGAAATAAGGTAAGGTTTTTATCAACCTAGACTGATTTAGTCTAACTGCAGGGAACATCTTAGGTGTGTGGTGTCATCCCCGTATAGATCTATACACAAATCCTCGCTCTCCATCCAAGAGACTCTGGTTATAACTGTTGGGTTACGAGCATTCTAACACTATTAAGTGTACATGCAACCCTAAATACCTTGGATCTATGTTTTCTCTATTATACATGCAAATACGAACATCCAAGGTATTATCCTAATCTAGCATACAAAAACTATCAATATAACAAGATAGAATACATACCTCTTTGATGTAGAATGTCTTCATGAAGCTTGAGTGCCTAGTGCCCCAAGTGTGACACATCTAATGGTTCACACAACACCAAATACACTTGGAATAACTTGAGAGAATTCTACACTTCATGAAAATCGGCTAGCCCTTTTTAGAATAATACTAGTTCCGATTTTGTCAAGAATAATATCTTTATATAGTGTTACAATTAGGGCAAACCCTAATTGTCATGACTTTCCATTTCCTTGGATCCATGGGTTCAAATACACCATGGATCATCCATGGAGCATCATATGGGTTTTGGCCCAACTAGATAATCCATGGAGCATTAGCCCACTATACAAGTATGGATGATTTACACAATCAACCCATATATTTAATTAGTCTTCTTTTGATCACTTAATTAATCCTAGATTAATTCTTGATCAATACTAATTAAATAATCTTATTATTCTTATTATTAATATACTAGAGCTTATAATATATTAATAACCATAAGTGTCTTATTTCTCTCATTTTAGTCTATCCAAGTGCATGATGCCATGCAACCCAAATGGACCATGCCGGGTCGGGTCAAGTCTTACCAATTATAGTTATGGACTTAGACATTAGTCCAACAGTATCCCACTTGGATAAGTCTAAAACTATTATTGCGTATGACTTCAGGAACCAACTGGAAATCGTAGCTCTCAAAAGCTTCTGTCGAACTCTGACCTTGTCGATAAAAGCTGACCTTTGTCAATTACTTGTCCATTAGATAAGGGATCATATATTACTCCATTCTAGATATCATATGGATTGAGACATGGATTATAATCATTCTCTCTGTCCATTTGTTGTTTCCCGATTTCCGATTTATGATGATTGACTAATTGAACAAATCAAATCAGTCCTGGCCCGGCCGAGCACTTCCATTTGTCATCATCAAATCATCGAGGGCCCCACAGATATCGTTTTTATCCCGAAGGTAAAAGGAATGGATAAACTTCGACTCATATGGCTTGTTCTACTACTTGTTGAATCATACACAAAGGCACGTTTTATAGCACCGAGTTACCAAATGCATTTTCGAGCAATCAATGTACAACCAACTCATAGTAACAACTCATATCTCTAGGTTTGAAGAATATAAGATATTATCGTCTCATGATTACTCGTGATAAAACCCCATGAAGTGATTCTAATGAGTGCGGGTTGAATCCAATACTCAGAACTTATGAGCACTCATGAGTGTTGTAGCCATTTTTCCAACACCTTAGACCTCTACAAGCCAACCCATGACAATCTTAATTCATATCTACTTCCAACATATGACCGACTGTGGATGGTTTGAATAACTTAGTCATTCCGGAAGAATAACCTAGTTTATTCGGGAAGTCAAAACATGCAAAGTGAAACACAATAATAATTGAATCCAATATGGTATCAAAACCTATGATCATAAATAAAACACCTTTTATTTATCACCATATGATTACACATTATTCATTGTATACTGCTCCCAGCTATCAACTTTATTCTTGAATTTAAAACAATAGTTGTCCCATGCTCCAAGCATGTACACTATGTTTTCTAAACACTAGTCATGCCACACACCAAGTATGCATACTATGTTTGTCTATGATCTTTACTTCGTGAACTAGATCCATTGAACATAACTTCAATGATTCTCTTTTCACACTCCCAAATCCTTACTGCAAATACAAGAATTCCAAATTCATGTCATTTACTGAAATCTGTTAGATTCTAAACTTATATGCATTGATCCTCTTGTAATGATTATGCACAAAGTCAGAAAGACTTGACAACAACCATTATAGAGCATTCCAAAGGAGATCGACTCCTTGGAAACATCCTTCTTGCATTAAGTTTCCTTAATCTCACAGATTGAAAATTCTAACTTTGAAACATTTC